TTTATATTGCGCGCATATATATAAATGTGGCGTCAACTTAAAGAAAAGAGCATGTCGTGCATGCAAGTAATTATATTTGACATTATTCGATTTTTTTTCTCTATACTTCTCTTCAAATGGTATTATTAAATTGATTATATCGTTAAAACTCGAATTTATACAATATATGCTGGATCATTATATTTTCACACGTGTTCTTATGTCCGTAAACTTGGAATATTTTTTTTGTTTTCGAAAAGTGGAAAATCTGCTAATCTAGATTATTATTATTATTATTATTATTAGGAAATAATAATAAATAATAATAATCTAGATTAGCAAACTAAAATTCAAAATTCAAAATGGCGGAAACAATATGGCGGACGAGTTTCTAAGAAATGTTCTAGATTTGACTAAAATTTGTTAAACAGGGGTTTTAGGGTTAATGAGTCTGTAACAAATTATAAGAAATTAATTTATATTTTTTTTATTTTAATATCACAATATGAAGTAATTGAAAGGCTTTTGTAAGGCCTTTTAAGTTTAAAAACCTTAAAAAAAATTTAATTTCAAAACATATTTGAAATTTTCAAGGTACATAATTTAATAAAAAAAAATGTTCATTTCTTTATGCCTTGTTATATATATTGAAATACAATAATATTTTATTGTACTGCAATAAACTAATGTACATACTTTCAGAACTATTTTCCATCGTGTCCCATAAAATTCGGTGCACTTCAAAACAAAATATTACTGTTTAATAGATCTACACTTTCACACTTATATATATATACAATTAGGCAGCGCAACAGTCGCTGCGAAGGTCGACTTTCAACTGATTCTATAACTTTTAATGGATCCTAGATCCTTAATGTTATTTTTTTAAATATTAATTTAATATTTTTATTTTCTTCAGAATTCTATAAAATCCTATGTAAAATCCTATAAAGTATCCAACATATAAAATATATATGTAAGGAAACCCTAAAGGAATTTTTCAATAGGTTATAATTTTAGGCAATAAATTGTTTAATTAAAAAATGTTATATCATTTTTAGAATAAACAATTTATTTAACAACTATATAGTGGTTTTTTTATTAATGGGTGACAGGTTATCTTAAGATATTTTAATAAATTTAAATTTTATTTTAATAAATAACAATAAATTAAAATAATTAAAAATCACAGACTTCGCAATCGATAATTAATTTTAAAAAAATGTAGCAAAAAGTAGTTTTCAAACTAAAAGAAGGTAGTAAAAAAGTAGCTATCAAAAAATTAAACTTGACGACCGGAAAAACTCGATTTCGAATCTTCACAAAAATGACAAAAATTCCATTCTATATTTTATTTTCCTGACTTTTTCCTAATTTTCATAAAAAATATTTACTTAAGTAAATTATTCTGCTAATAAATTTAATTCGAATTTTATTATTTATGAAAGAATTTAAATATTTATGAATATAATTCAATTCTTGCAAATTCTTGCTAATTCTTGCAAATTCTAATTTAAATAATTGAATTCCTAAGAAATTTTTATTATTCATGAAAAGAATTGAATTCTTACGTAGATTTTTAGAAAAAATTTTTTACATAATTGAATTCTGTTTGGAAATTTTATGAAAATAGTAAATATTGAAAATCATTGAATTGCAAAAAGTTTTTGAAAATAATTAAATTTTACAAAGAATTCTATTAAAATTTTTGACAATAATTCAATGTATGTGATGTATTTTATTAATCTTTTTTGAAAATAATTAAATTTCTAAAAAGCATTTTATTATTTATAACAATAATTGAATTTTTGCGAACGATTTTCTGGGAATTTTTTAAAATAATTGAATTTCCAAGAAGAAATTTATTACTTTAAAAAAAAAATTACTTTATTACTTTTAAAAATAATTGAATTCTTGTGATGAATATTGTTATTTATAAAAATAATTGAATTTTCGGGAATCATTTTGTTATTTATCTTTAATAATTGAATTATTTCGAAGAATTATTTATGAAAATAATTGAATTCTTGGGAATAATTTTGTTATTTTTGAAAATAATTGAATTCTTCGAATGAATGTTATTAAAATCTAAAAGAATAATTGAATTTTTTCAAAAAAAAGTTGAATTAAAATTGTATTTAAAATAATTAATTTCTTTCCCACAATTTTATTAAAATATTTAGAAATAATTGAATTCCTGTGAAAAATTCTAATATTTTTGTAAATAAAATTGAATTCTTCGAAAGAATTTTAAAAAACATTTTTTTAATTAATTGATTTTTTCGAGAAATAAAAATTACATTTTTAAGAATAATAAAATTTTTCTGATAATTCCTGTAAAATTGTATTAAAAATAATTGAAATCCTACGATGAATTTTATAATTTATGAAAAGAATTTAATTATTGCTTTAGCAACTATTCATTAAAATGAAGAATTTATTAAATAAAAATTTCATTAAAATTTTCCAAAATAATTGAATTCACAAGAAGAATTGTATTAGCTATGAAAATAATAAATTGAATTATTGCGAAAGATTTTATTAGAATTCTTTAAAATAATTGAATTTCCAAAAATATTGATTACTTTGAAAAATAATTGAATTCTTGTGATGAATAATTATTGTTATTTATGCGAAAATAATAATTGAGGGCCTGGAACGGATAACTGCCTGCAACGCATAGTAGAAGAGGACTATACCAGTCAGACGGCAGTGAGAGGCCTAGAGAGGCGCTCACTGTTGTCTGACTGTGTCTGACTGGTATAGTCCCTTTCAACAATGCGTAGCAGACAGTTATCCGTTCCAGGCACTCAATTGAATTTTGCAAAGAATTTTATTAAAATACCTCAAAATAATTGAATTTTCGGGAATAATTTTTTTTATTTATCTTTAATAATTAAATTATTTCGAAAAATTATTTATGTAAATAATTGAATTCTAGGGAATAATTTTATTAAAATCTAAAAGAATAATTGAACTATTTTAAAAAAATTTTAATTGTATGTAAAATAATTGATTTCGTTCGAACAATTTTATTAAATAATTTGAAAATAATTGAATTTTCTGAACTTCTTCGATTGAATTTTAAAAATTATTTTTTTAAATAATTTATTTTTTCGAGGAATAGAAATTAAATTTTTAAGAATAATTGCATTTTTCAATGAATTCCTGTAAAATTGTATTAAAAATAATTGAATTCCTGCTATGAATTTTACTATTTATGAAAATAATTGAATTTTTGCGAAAAATTTTATTAAAATGTTTAAAAATGTTTTAAAAAGAATTGAATTTTGGTGAAAAATTTTGTTATTTTTGAAAATAATTGAATTCTTCATAAGAATTTTATAAACATTGTTTTAAATAATTAATTTTTTCAAAAAACTTTATTTGTGAAAATAATTGAATTTTTTGATTAATTAATTTCAAATAGTATTAAAAATAATTGAAATTTTTCGATAAGTTTTATTATTTATGAAAATAATTGAATTCTTGCATAGAATATTATCAAAAATTTTTTTGAAAATAATTGAATTTCCAAGAAGAAATTTATTACTTTTAAAAATAATTAAATTCTTTTGATGAATATTGTTATTTATGAAAATAATTGAATTTTGCAAAGAATTTTATTAAAGTGACTCAAAAAAATTGAATTTTCGGGAATAATTTTGTTATTTATCTTTAATAATTGAATTCTTTTGAAGAATTACTCATGTAAATAATTGAATTCTTTTGAAGAATTACTCATGTAAATAATTGAATTCTTGAGAAGAATTTTATTAAAATCCAAAAGGATAATTCAATTATTTCAAAAAAATTTAATTAAAATTTTATTTCAAACAATATTATAATTTCTTTCAAACAATTTTATTAAAATAATTAAAAATAATTGAAAATAAATAATTAAATAATTGAATTCCTGTGAAAAATTCTAATATTTTTGTAAATAATAAAATTTTTCGAAAGAATTTAAAAAAAAAATTTTTTTAATAATTGATATTTTCGAGGAATCGAGTTTAAATTTCATTTTTTTAGCAATTCCTGTAAAATTGTATTAAAAATAATTGAAATCCTGCGATGAATTTTATTGTTTATGAAAGTATTTAAAGTTGCAAAAAATTTTATTAAAATTTTAAAAAATAATTGAATTCTTGAGAAGAATTTTATTATTTATGAAAATAAAATAAAATGTTTAAAAAGAATTGAATTTTGGTGAAAAATTTTGTTATTTTCAAAAATAATTGAATTCTTCATAAGAAATTTATAAACATTGTTTGAAAAAATTAATTTTTTCTAAATCTAGAAAATATTATAATATGAAAATTTTATTTTAAATAATTGAATTCTTGTGGAAAACTTTATTTGTGAAAATAATTGAATTTCTCGATAAATTAATTTAAAACAGTATTAAAAATAATTGAAATTCTTCAAAGAGTTTTATTATTTTTGAAAATAATTGAATACTTGCTTAGAATTTTATCAAAAATATTTTTAAAAAATTGATTTTCTGAGAAAGAGTGTATTACTTTTAAAAATAATTGAATTTTTGTGAAGATTTGTATAAAAATTTTGGTTTAATAATTGACTTTTTCAAAATTTTTTAGAAAATTCTATTCTAAATTAATTGAATTTCTGCGCGAAAATTTTATTATTTATGAAAATAATTGAATTTTGATTGAATTTTTCAATTTTTTTGAAATAATTGAATTCTTTTGCGAAATTTTATAAAAATACTAGATATTGAAAATAATTGAATTTCGTATATTTTTGATAATAATTGAATCGTTTTAAAGAATTTGATTATAATTTTTGGGAATATTTTTTTGATTTCCAGTATTAGCGAATTTAAAGTAAATTCTCAAAAAAAAAAAAACATAAATAGTAGCTTTTAGTGACTGAAATCTAAAAAAAGTACCCAAATAGTATCATATCGTAAAAAAAGTAGTAAATAGTAGATTTTAGTAGATTTTAGTAGATGAGTGCAAAAGCCTGAAATTAATGTTGTTTTGTAATTCTATTTTTAGATTGGGACCAGTGTTATCACAAATGCAGTCAATATGGATTCTCATGTCGGTCTTGACTACATTGTGGATAACCCCGATTACTGTACCAAACTTGCCTCAGGTAAGTCGCCATCGCATCAGGAAAACTTGAATTAATCTCGAGAGGCACCTTTACCTTGATATAAAAAAGAAGTAAAAAATAAAATGAAAAAAAAAACAAAACGAAATCGTTAGCTCACTGACCATGACTCTTCCGATTTCAGCACTAGACACAGCTTGCACGTCCGTGAAGAAACAAGTAGTCGAATTACTCTCAGCCCTGTGCGTTTACAGTCAAGATGGACGACAACGTGCCATTGACACCCTTCACATTTATCAGGTAAGGTCACACAAATCTCTAAATATAAATATATATTTATTTTCTCTTTTCAGATCACTCTTACTCATTCCAATACCTATGTTACGCTATAAAAATAATAAAATAATAATAAATTGATAATTTCATATTTTCGAAATACTTTCATACGTAATATTTTTATTTACGATTTTTCAATTGGAAAATTTTTCCTTCACGTCCATTTTTATCAATTCTGCAATTCTTATTTCTTTTATTTTGAGAAATATTTTGAAAATTGCAGTAAACTTGCAACAAACTCGCAGTAAATTTATTCAAGTTAAGCGCAAGATTTTTTTTCCTTGATAGTTGGTTGTTTAGCTTCATGGTTAGGGTCTTTGGTTGGCATCCATAAAACCCGGGTTCAATTCCCAGTCTCCACGAAATTTATTTCCAAAACATTTCTCATGAATATTATATTGTATTATATTATATTATATTGTATTATATTATATTATATTATATTATATTATATTATTATATTATATTGTATTATATTATATTGTATTATATTATATTATATTATATATTATATTATATTATATTATATTATATTATATTATATTATATTATATTATATTATATTATATTATATTATATTATATTATATTATATTATATTATATTATATTATATTATATTATATTATATTATATTATATTATATTATATTATATTATATTATATTATATTATATTATATTATATTATATTATATTATATTATATTATATTATATTTATTTTATTTTATTTATTATATAAAATTTCGAAAGTGAAATTATTTAATAACAATTGAATTAAAAATATTTTTCAGGAACGTAAAGACGAACGATATCGTTTACGAGTCGTCGTCGATGAATTACAAAAAGCAACGGCTGAAGACTATCAAACAGCGTTGCTGGCATTCATCAATTGTATAGTCATTTCCACTCCGGTCCTCAAGGACCGAGTTCGAATTCGAAATGAATTTATCGGTAATTATAAACTTCTCTTATAATTTTATATATATATATATATATATATATTTCAATTTTTAATTTTTGTAATCAACAATTGAGGATATGCCTTTTAAGGGGAGGGTACATCGATATTTTTTTAATTATATATTAAGAAAATAATTGATGTATTCTACAAAATTATTTTTAAGGTATTTTTTATGACGAATTGTCATTGGTCAAAAAAAAATTTTTCCAAATATTCAATTTTTTACTAATTTTAAAGAAAATATGAAAAGAGTAATACTTTGATTTACTTCAATTAAATTAGAAAAGTAGAATTAGAAAATAGATTAGAAAATTAAAATATATAAAAAAATATAGTAATTGATTTACAAATGATCGTTACATTAATATATTAATTCAATCTAAATTAAAATTATTATATATTATGCAAATTGATGTTTAATTATTTTTTTTCTTTACATTCAATAAAACTTAATAGAGTCTGTTTTTTCAAATAAGGAACTTTTTAAGAAAATGCGTCATTTTTAAGTAAATAATTGCCAATGATAATTACTTAATCATAAACTGTTTTTTTTTTTTTTTAAGGTTTAAAGCTGCTCTCAATTCTCAACGATCTTCGGTGAGTACTGACTCGTTCGCCCTGCGCACATTATATTATGATATTAACATGATTAACACTCTAACATTGTGGAATAATAAACATTTGATGAGCGAATAATCGAAGGCTTTATTAATCCGATTTTTTTCCTCTCCAATAAATTATTATTATTTATCGTTTCGCTTTTTAATGCGAAGATAAACGAAAACTATTTTTATAATAATACCATAAAATTTATATACGTTCACATTGAAAAATAAGTTGGAAATAAATTTTTTTTTTTTATAACTTTTCTTTAAAAATGTAATCCCTCTACGAACTTTCAATAAAAATTAAATCAATTAATTAAAAAAAATTAAAAATTAAATTAAAAAAAAAAAATTTTAATTTAAAATTTTCTTTTTTTAAATTAATTTTTACATAAAAATTAAAAATAATAACATAAGTGTTAAATACTTATTATAACACTTGAGAGAAAAATAACTATTTTTAAATTTCAAATTTTTGCAGTGAAGAAATTGGATCTTTTATAATTAATTGAGTTCAAGTTAAATAATAAAATTAAAAAAAAGTATGTCATGCGTATAATAAATAAATATATTAATAAAATCGTTGACGAATCAAAAGTGTTGACATGTCTTGTCGATCTAAATTGCTTTTGAATTATTCAAATTCTAGAAATTATCATGAATCCAATTTTCCACAGTTCCACATAATATCACATAATATAATTTATGAATATTTAATTTCAAAAAGAATTTCTAAAAAAGTGCAATATTACTGTAATTTTTTCTATATATATTATTTTTTTATCTTATTTTCAATATACAATCTAATTATATATGTTAATCAAATGAAATATAATTAAGTATAATTTTTTTTCTTACAACTGTATCTAGATTTTATTAATAATATTTATAGTAATAAATATAACGAAAAATAAAACCCCGCCGATAATAGGGAATGTTCCTCTCATATTCCCTAGAATATTCCTCTCACTATCCTATAGAATATTCCATCAATTTTTTTGGAATATTACAAAAAGTTTAATTAATTAAAAAGTTTCATATTTGGATATAATGTATATAATGAATGACTTAGTGTTCTATATAGTGAGAATATTTATAATTATGGAAATATTGCAATGGAATATTCCTGCGATATTCCAATAGAATATTTTTACTAAATCCTAATGGAATATTCTTTCAAAATTTCGAGGGAATATTGTAAGAGTATTCAAATAGAATATTCTTTTGAAATTACAAGTGAATATTGCAATAATTATCGAATGGAATATTCATTCGAAATTCCAATCGGAATATTCCTAAAATATTGTATAGTGAATTATTCTTACAATATTGCAGTACATGATATTCGTACATTATTCTGGTTTATAATTCTTACAATACTCCAGAGGAATATTTTTAAGGAAATTCTACTGGAATATCCACGCAATATTCCAGTGGAATATTCTTACAATACTCCATTGGATATTTCTTTGAAATATCAAGAAAATATTGCAACAATATTTTAATGAAATATTCTTACAATACTCCAGTGGAATATTAATCCAAGGAGCAGGAAATATTATCAAAATATTTATGACGAAATATTCCATCCACATTACTGGAATATTTCACTAGAACATTGAAAATATTCCTTTGAAATATTCCACCCATATTTTAGGAATATTAAAATATCTGACTTTTGGAATAATCTTTTGGAGTATTATGATAAAATATTCCATTCACATTCTTGGAATATTTCATTGGAACATTGGGAATATTCCACTTACAATTTAAGAATATTAGGTTATCCAACTTTTGGAATATTCCTTTGGAGTATTATGATAAAATATTCCACTCACATTCCAAGAATATTCCTTTGGAACATTAAGAATATTCTTTTGGTGTCTTCTATATATTCTACTTTGATTAAAATATTCCTACATAATTCCAAATGATTTTTTCAAAGGTTTTAATATTTCTAAAATGTGGATAGAATATTTTGAAGAAATATTCCCAATGTTCGAATGGAATATTCTGTGTTATTATAGGATTGAGTTAATAGTCCACAATATTATAAAGGGAATATTAAATGATGCCATCCCCCAACAAATGGAATATTCCATCTACAACTCTGGAATATTTCATTGGAATATTGGAAATATTCCTTTGCAATATTATAATACATTTTATATAATGTATAATACATTTTTATATTATAATACATTTTAGGAATATTAATATTTTAATGTTCTTAAAATGTTGATGGAATATTCCAGAAGAATATTTCCAATTTTTCCAAATGAAATATTCCAAGAATGTAAATGGAATATTAGCTGCTATTGGGGATGTGTAGTGAAATGTAGAATCGATATTTCCATAATATTACTGTGGAATATTCCCAAAATATTATCGATATTCCCGCAATATTGTAATGAATATTCCCCTCAATATCAACGTGGAATATTCCAAAATAATTTTTCAATTCAAAATAATATGCAAATATTTAAAAATTAAAAAATTTCCATAAAAAAAATTCCAGTATTGGTTTCCATTAAGTAAAGAAATATTACCAAAATGTTTTATTGAAATTTTCCAGAAACTTGAATGAAAAATTTCGTAATATTCAGTTGGGTACATAAACAAATTTAGTGTTTTTTATTTCAATATAGTAAAGAAAAGAAAGAGGAGAATTTAATGAGAGGGCTTATGAAATGAAGTAATCGACTATTTGAGCCGATGACTCCATTTCAGAAAATAGTTCAAAAGAACACAAGAAGGAAGAAGATGAAAGCAAGAAACTCTCTGGCGCCAGTGAGCAAGAAATAGACTCATATACGATATTCTAATTTCTCTTTCCGTCTTTTTACTTTCTTTTTTTTTCTTTTTCGTCTATTTTCTGTTTAGATATATATATAAATACTCAAAACACAATTATTATTAACCATTTAAAATAATTAATAATTTATACTTTAATTTATTGATCATAATATATTAAAATAGTGCGGAATATTTTATATTCACATTCCTGGAATTTTTTTTTTAATATTGACAATAATATAAAAGAAGATTTAATTTTAAATTTAACGGAATATTGAAATTTTCCTACTTTGGAATTTTTTAAATAACACTCCAGTAGTATGGAATATTCCATTCACACTCCAGGAATATTCCATTGCAACATTAGGATTATTAAAATGTCCGACATTTGGAATATTTCATTCAACTATCAGGAATATTCCTTTGGAATATTCCATTAACATATCACGAATATTCCTTTGGAATATTCCATTTATATTTTAGAAGAATTCCTTTAGAATATTCCACGCATATTTCAGAAATATTCCTTTTATAATATTCCATTCACATCTTAAAAAATCCAATCAAATATTACCAAAAATTCCAATGAAATATTACCACAATATTCCAAAGGAATATTCGTATATTAATCGAAGAAGCATTTTCCAAAGGTTTGACATTTCTGTACTCCTAAAAAATTTATGAAATACTCCAAAGGAATATTTCTAATTTTTAAATGGAATATTCCGGGAATGAAATATTTCTTGATATTAGGGTTAATGTATAATATTCCATAAATTTTTTATGAAATGTAAAAGTTTTATACTTAAAATTTTATCTTCCATTGTAGTATTTCTGTGATATTCCATTAAAATATTTATATTATTTTTTATTGGAATATTTTAATAATATTCCATCACGGAAAACTCTATATTCTACGTTGAATTTTATTACAAGGGAATATTTTCACATTATTCTAAGGAAATATTTAAATTGTCGAATATTTAAATTCTCATAAAATATTAATAGAATATTCCAAGACTTTCATTCGTATTCTAATATTTCTATTTCTTTGGAATATTTCCCAAATATTCCAATGGGATATTCTCTATATTGCACTTTCAAGTTTATTAGAATATAATATTTCAATTTTCCTAGAACATTGATTGAATATTCCCAATATTTCACTGAATATTTTGGAATATTTTGTAAAATATTAAAATATAAATTGAAAATTTTATACTATTTCTAAATCTACTTTGATCTTTAAAAGTTTATATGAAATTCATAAAAGTAATATTCTGATAGGAAATATTCAAATAATAGGTTGTAATTTTACATTATTCTAAGGGAATATTTCAATTTTCATGGAATATTAATGGAATATTTCAAATCTTTTATTTATATTTTAATATTACTGTTTCTACTTTGAATTTTATTACAAGGGAATATTTTCACATTGTTCTCAGGGAATATTTTTCAATTGTCGAATGGGATATTCCAATGGAATATTCTTGTGGCCGGACATTTTATAATATTTCTAATGTTGCAATGGAATATTCCAGGAATATTGCCAGAAGATTGCAAGGAATGATTCTTGCAAGCTTACTGCGAAATACTACGAAATAAATAAAAATAATTTTTACTTCAATTTGAAGAAAATTTTTTGAAAAATTAAGGGAAGCAATTTTGCACTGTAAGCTTGGAAACAATGCATGGCAAGCTAACTACAAGCTTACAGTGTTAATTTGGCAACATTGCAAGATAACCTTTCCGCAAGTTTGCACTGTATAAACTTGTCAACATTACACGGTAAGCTAGCTGCAAGCTTGCACTATAAACTTGGCAACATTTCAAGATAATCTTTCTGCAAGCTTTCACTGTAAACTTGGCAACATTGCACGGTAATCTTTCTGCAAGTTTTTGCACTGCAAGCTTGGCAATATTGCAAGCTTGCCGCAAGCTTTCTTTCCATTTGGATACTTTCATTTATAAAATTTTTTCGTTTTTATTTTTACCCACCTTCCCTCTCTTCTATCATTTTGTAAAATTGTATCTTTCTTTCTTCTTTTTCTTCGACAAATTCTCAGTGAAATCCCACAAGAGAAAAAAAGAGAAAAAGAGAAAAAACGAATGAAAAGAAAGTTGTGTCTCGTACGACGACCGCATGAGATGATGAAAAAGGGGCGGAAGATGTGAGGGTGGGGGGGAGGAGAA